GTGGGGTTAAATTTGGGTTTAGGGTTGGGGTAGGGTTTGGGTTGGGGTTAGGTGTGGGGTTAAAGTTGGGGGTAGGGTTTGGAGTTAGGTTGAGGGGTAAAGTTGGATTTAGGGTTGGGGGTAGGGTTTGGGTTGGGGTTAGGGGTGGAGTTAAAATTGGGTTTAGGGTTAGGTTGAGGTTTAGAGTTAGGGGTTTATGGTTGTATGGTTGGGTTAAGGTTAGGGCACACTTGTCCAACTCTCACTTGGGGGATGGTGGGTCTCTGGTAGAAACGTGATAGATCCTTTACCTCAAACACATATATGTAATTACACACACACACACACACACATATATATATATATATATATATACATATGGGGTGGCCGGGGGACGAGGTATTTTTATTTATTTTTTCAGTTTTTGTTTTTTGCCAAGTGAAGCCAATGAGATGACAAAGTCTCACTTGGGGGATGGTGGGTCTCTGGGATATTTCTGGTAGAAGCATGATATATCCTTTAACACACACACACAGACAAATATATATATATATATATATATATATATATATATATATATATATGTATATGTAGGTATGTATATAGTATTTTATCAGTTTTTGTTTTTTCGCAAAGTGAAGCCAATGGGATGACCGGGGGTCTGCGGTGGCAGGTAGTTTTTTTTTCCAGTTTTGTTTCTTCTACTACTTTTCTTGCAAAGTGAAGCCTATGGGATGGCCGGGGATATACTCTGTTTATAATTATTATTATTTTTTTTTTTTACAAAGTGAGGCTGGTGGGTTGGCTGTGGGTCAGCGGTTTTTTTTTTTTCTTTCTTTCTCGCAAAGTGAAGCCAATGGGATGACCGGGGTTCTGCGGTGACAAGTAGTTTTCTTTTTCAATTTTTTTTCTTCTACTACTTTTCTTGCAAAGTGAAGCCTATGGGATGGCCGGGGGTCTACTTTTTAACTCTAATTTTTTTTTTTTTTTTTTTTTTTCTCGCAAAGTGAAGCTGATGGGGTGACCGGGGGTCTGCGGCAGTTTTTTTTTTTTTCACAAATTTCTTTCTTTTTTTATTTAAAGAGAAGCTGATGGGCTGGCCTGGGGTCATCGGTAGGATTTTTTTAAATTTTATTTTATTTTTTTTGTTTTATACATTTTCTATTGGAAAGTGAATCCCTCTGTGTGTGTGTGTGGGGGGGGGGGGATTGTGGGGGGGGGGGGTTTAGATGTTATCCTTGAATAAACTTTTTTTATTTTTTTATTTTTTAACCAACTAAAAGGCGATTCACCTCACTCTCAAGGAGAGAGAAAAAAAAGGCACAAAGAGTCGACGTTCGTTTAAGGCTCAACAGGAATATGTTCGGCCTGGAGAGGGCTCGCCTGGCACTTGCAGAACACATCCACCGGGGACGTTACGAGGAAGGCTCTCTACATGTCTACAGTCACGCACAAGACGCACAAGACAGGGCGCTGGGACACTTTGGGTTACTAGGACACGTGAACGGGTCGACGCCAGGCGGGAGGACCCCCCCACCAGCCGATAGGGCCCCCCCCACCCCACCCCGGTTTTCTCTGACCTGCCATCGAGGTTTCGGCGAAGGCGAAACTTCGTGGACTTTGGTTTTCAGCACTTGTTGGGAAGTCTTTAGAGGAGACCTTAGAGGAGAACGACGGCCCCAGAAGGTGCACCGTTCTCTTCTAAACGGGCCCCTCACCTCAGCAGGAACGACTGCCGGGGGTGACTTCGATAGCAGCAGCGCCCTGCTGTTCTGTCACCTGACCGATGGGAACTTACGACGCCCCTGGGGTAGGCCCCTCGCCCGGTCCCTTCGGACCGTTGTGGGCAGGGTGGTTCCTCCCCGATTCGGGCCTCAGACCCGCAGCAGAGCGAGGCCTCCTTCGGGCCTCCTCCGCACTCCCTCGCTCCTTGGGAAAAGGACTCAGACGACCGGTCTACCTCGAAAGTCCTCCACCGGCAGCCCAGCGAAGGTCGACGCGCCTCCCTCGCCGCTCTCTCACAGTGGAGGGCGGCGCCGGTGCGGGCGCTCTCCGCTCTTCGGCCGGGCTCGCCGCGAAGCACGTCGCATTTCCCGGTGACCACAACCCCGCAAAAACCCCACACAGCGAGCGGCCGCGCCTCCCTCGCCCCCTCCGGGGGCGCGAGCGGCAGCGCGAGACCCGTGAGCGAGGAAGAGCTCTCTTCCTCTACCACTCTGCTCGGGGCTACCTGGTTGATCCTGCCAGTAACATATGCTTGTCTCAAAGATTAAGCCATGCAGGTCTAAGTGCACACGGCCGGTACAGTGAAACTGCGAATGGCTCATTAAATCAGTTATGGTTCCTTTGATCGCTCCATCCGTTACTTGGATAACTGTGGCAATTCCAGAGCTAATACATGCCAACGAGCGCCGACCCGGTCCCATGTTGTTAGTATACAACATGCTAGTCATGTTAACATGCTAAAATAATAGTCACAATAACACTCTAACAACAAGCTTAAGTCATGTTAACATGCTAAAGTCATGCTAACAACATGCTAAAGTCACGCTAACAACATGCTAAAGTCACGCTAACAACATGTTAAAGTTATGCTAACAACATGCTAAAGTTATGCTAAAAACATGCTAAAGTTATGCTAAAGTCATGCTAACATGCTAAAGTTATGCTAACAACATGCTAAAGTTATGCTAACAACATGCTAAAGTTATGCTAACAACATGCTAAAGTCACGTTAACATGCTAAAGTCACGCTAACAACATGCTAAAGTTTTGATAACAACATGCTTAAATCATGCTAACAACATGCTAAAGTTATGCTAACATGCTAAAGTCACGCTAACAACATGCTTAAACCATGCTAACAACATGCTAAAGTTATGCCAACAACATGTTAAAGTTATGCTAACAACATGCTAAAGTCATGCTAACATGCTAAAGTCACGCTAACAACATGCTAAAGTTATGCTAACAAAATGCTAAAGTTATGCTAGTCACGCTAACATGCTAAAGTTATGCTAACAACATGCTAAAGTTATGCTAACAACATGCTAAAGTCATGCTAACATGCTAAAGTTATGCTAACAACATGCTAAAGTCATGCTAACATGCTAAAGTCACGCTAACAACATGCTAAAGTTATGCTAACAAAATGCTAAAGTTATGCTAAAGTCACGCTAACATGCTAAAGTCATGCTAACAAAATGCTAAAGTTATGCTAACAACATGCTAAAGTTATGCTAACAACATGCTAAAGTTATGCTAACAAAATGCTAAAGTTATGCTAAAGTCACGCTAACATGCTAAAGTCATGCTAACAACATGCTAAAGTTATGCTAAAGTCACGCTAACAACATGCTAAAGTTATGCTAACAAAATGCTAAAGTTATGCTAAAGTCACGCTAACATGCTAAAGTTATGCTAAAGTCACGCTAACATGCTAAAGTCATGCTAACAACATGCTAAAGTTATGCTAACAAAATGCTAAAGTTATGCTAAAGTCACGCTAACATGCTAAAGTTATGCTAAAGTCACGCTAACATGCTAAAGTCATGCTAACAACATGCTAAAGTTATGCTAAAAACATGCTAAAGTTATGCTAACAACATGCTAAAGTTATGCTAACAACTTGCTAAAGTTATGCTAAAAACATGCTAAAGTTATGCTAAGAACATGCTAAAGTTATGCTAACAACATGCTAAAGTTATGCTAAAAACATGCTAAAGTTATGCTAAGAACATGCTAAAGTTATGCTAACAACATGCTAAAGTTATGCTAAAGTCACGCTAACAACATGCTAAAGTTATGCTAAAGTCACGCTAACAACATGCTAAAGTTATGCTAACAACATGCTAAAGTTATGCTAAAGTCACGCTAACATGCTAAAGTCATGCTAACAACATGCCAAAGTTAGGCTAAAGTTATGCTAACAACATGCTAAAGTTATGCTAAAAACATGCTAAAGTCATGCTAACAACATGCTAAAGTTATGCTAAAAACATGCTAAAGTTATGCTAACAACATGCTAAAGTTATGCTAAGAACATGCTAAAGTTATGCTAAAAACATGCTAAAGTTATGCTAAGAACATGCTAAAGTTATGCTAACAACATGCTAAAGTTATGCTAAAGTCACGCTAACAACATGCTAAAGTTATGCTAAAGTCACGCTAACAACATGCTAAAGTTATGCTAACAACATGCTAAAGTTATGCTAAAGTCACGCTAACATGCTAAAGTCATGCTAACAACATGCCAAAGTTAGGCTAAAGTCACGCTAACAACATGCTTAAGTCATGCTAAAGTTTAGCTAACCACATGCTAAAGTTACGCTAAAAATGCTAGCATACGATAGTGATAGCTAACGACATGCTTAAAAACGATAGCATAATGCTAATGACACGTTAAAAACGATAGCATCATGCTAATGACATGCTAAAAACGATAGCATCACGCTAAAGACGATAGCATCATGCTAACGACACGCTAAAAACGATAGCATCGTGCAAACGACATGCTAAAATGCTAACATCATGCTAACCACATGCTAAAAACGATAGCATCATGCTAACAACACGCTAATATCGATAGCATCACGCTAATATTGATAGCATCACGTTAAAAACACGTTAAAAATGCTAACATTATGCTAACAACACATTAAAAACGATAGCATCACGCTAAAAACAATAGCGTCGTGCTAACGACATGCTAAAGTGCTAGCATCATGCTAACAACACGCTAAAAACGATAGCCTCGTGCTAACGACATGCTAAAATGCTAGCATCATGCTAACGACATGCTAAAAACGATAGCATCACGCTAAAGACGATAGCATCATGCTAACGACATGCTAAAAATGATAGCGTTGTGCAAACGACATGCTAAAATGCTAGCATCATGCTAACAACACGTTAAAAACGATAGCATCACGCTAAAAACGATAGCATCACGCTAAAAACACGTTAAAAATGCTAACATTATGCTAACAACACGTTAAAAACGATAGCATCACGCTAAAAGC